TTAAAGAATCAAGTAATAAAGATAACTCAGAAAAATACTTAGCAGCTTCTGTTATTCTTTTTATTACAGCATCAGCTAATGCATGTCGCCATCTTTGATCTTCTTTAGTTTCACATTGTATTAACTGACTTTCTGGATACCTATTGGCAAAAGGACTAAATAAACAAGGTAAATTTTTAGTATTTTGTTTTGAATTTATTATTATTAATTACAAAATTAGTATATATAAAAAGCTTAGTTTTAAATTTAATTTGAGAGAAAACTGTTTTGTAAGGTTTTGTGGATCCGTATGGATTCTGAATCTACATACTCAAAAACATATATTCTAGCATTTAGTTTTGCAAAAAAAAAAAAAAATTTTATAGATCATTGAAGTTTTACGAATTTCTTATTTATGTAATTTATTAAATACTCTATCAATATAAATATGTATCATAAAATTATTATATTTTATAAAAAAAAGTATCAAATAAATGTATTTAAAGTTATTAATTTTTTTAAAAATTTTTTTTTTTGAATTTTATATTTTTAAGATTACATAAAATAATAATTTATAAAATAATCAAGTTACAATTACTGTTTTACATGCAAAATTTTATTCTTTTTAAATTTGTATTTAATTATAATAATTAATAAAAAATTAAAACTTTTATTATTAATAAAATTTACTTTAAATTTCATAATAAGTATGTAAAAAATACTTTTAAATCTATAATGTAAGTTAATATTAACTTTTATTTTTAAATAATTAATTTTTATAATTAATTACTCTTTTATAATTAATTATATATTATATATTAAAAATTACTTATTAAGTTTTTGATAAAATATTTACTATGATATATATACCTTAAATTAGTATTAGATTTTGAATACATTTTTTAATTTTAAATATTTTGGATAAGGTTTTAAACAAAGAAAAATATATCTATAATCTGTCTAAAACTATCCAAAAATATCCAAAATTGTCTAATTTTCTAACACTGTCCTAAACTTATTTTAATAAAAGTTAAAACTTTTTTAACAATTTTAGTAAATTTTAATAATTTTAATAGATTTTATAAGTTTCAATAATTTTTAAATTTTAATAGTTTTGATAATAATTTTGTAAATTTGACAGTTTTAATAGATTTATTATATCATAATATAAAATTTAAAAATAATTTTTTTTGCTTTTTATTTTAAATTAAAATAAAGTTTCTAAAATAATATATTAGTTATTGAGTAGATTTTAAATTTAGAATTACTGATATTTATTGAAGAATTAGAAAAATTATCTTATGAAAAAATAATGATAAAGGTTGAAATTAGTTTATTTTTACTTTCAAATTTATTTAATTTTAAAAATCAGATCTAGATTTAAATCTAAATATTAAATCTTTATTATAGATTAAATTTAAAGCTTAATAAATTATATATATCAAATATTATATAATTAATGTAATTACTTTAATTATACATAATATTATTATGATTTTGACACTTTCAATTTATCTTTTATAAAATCCTAAAAAAAATAAAATTTTAAATTTTTCAATTAAGAATTTACATATTAATATTTTTAAATATTAATATTAGTTATAATAGATAAATTATTATAATCATTTATATTGAGCTAATTTTATCTTAGATTTAAATTCAAACTGAATATATCTAGCTTTAAATTTAAATGTCAAATTCAGTTTTAATCTCTAGATAATAATTTTTCAAATAAAAGTTTAATAGAAAAAAAAATAAAATAAGAATACTATTATAAATTTAAATAACTAGAAATTATTCTATTTAATCAGATAATATTTTATTATTTAATTCAAAAATTTTATTAAATTAAATAAGCTTATTTTACATATTATTATGTTTATATTACTTTATATATTTTAAAATGATAAAATTGTTTTTTTAATTAATAAAATAAAAATTTTATAGTTATTATTTTGTTAAGTTAAATAATATAAAAAAAATATTAAAAGTTAAATAAAGAAAAAGTTAAAGTTATTAATATAAGAAAAGTGAAATTTAATAAAAATTTAAAATATTAATCACATATTAAAATAATAATAAAAGTCACTCAGATAATAGACATCAAATAATATATTTTTGAAAATTAACTATTATTTTATAAAATATTAATATTATAGATTTTCTTTTGAAAACATAATTTCTCAATTTTTTATAAAATAAATAATAAAAATTTTCTTTTTTTCTTTACAAAATATTTATAAATATTTATTATATAAAATTATATTACAAGTTTATTTGAATATAATTAATAGTTATTTAATATTTAATTAAATAGATTTAAACAATTTAATTTTTTATTATTTAATATTTTATAATATATTATATTTTTATGTATATTTTTAATTAATATATAATTTTAATATTAGAAATTTAATTAATCTGATTAAAAATTATTTATACTAAAATAAACATTTTAATATTAAAAATAAAATAGCATAAAAGTTTAAAAAAAATATATACTAAAAAATTTTTAATTTGAATTAATAAAAATATTAAATATATTAAATGATTTATGTAATATATTAAAAATTTATTTACATTTAATTTAATTTAAACTATTTTAATTTAATTATTTATGTAATTAATTTTAATTTAAAAATTATATATATTTTAAATACTTTATAATTTTTTATTTACTTTGTATATAAAATACCTATATATTTTCTATTTGTTAATTTTGAATTATTATTAATCTTTAACTTTATTAAAAACATTTAAAACAAGTTTCTGAAATGCTTAGAATTTTGATTATTAAGTAATCTAAAATATGGAGGATACATATAAAAATTTAATTTATGTATTTATAGAGAGAAAGCTGATTATGTATCAAAACTTTTAATATTTTAAAATACATATTTATACTTTCTTTTTTAAAAAAAAAATTATACAAATACTTTATCCATTAAAACAAAAATTATAGTAGATTCAAATTTAGATTAAATTTAGTAATTCCAATACCAAATTTTTGAACCCTTTAATGTTCCAATGGTTTTCTCGAGTTGAAAAATTTTAAAATGAAATATTAACTCTCAAGAATTATAAATTTAGTTGACCTCAATCTTTCGACCACTTAAGGAGTCTTATTTCTTCTTAATCGTTTGCGTTTCGCCTAAAATATCATATTCGAACTGTTAAAAGACATTCTTTTAAACTATATAAACTGTATTGATTAAGGTACCTTTAAGAATCCATCATATCTAGCTGTTTTATCACGAGGTTTTGGGGGAGGGTAATGTTTAACTTTTCTTGGTCTATAGAATTTGTCTAGAGAACTATCATGACGAATTTGAAAAAGTAAAAAGGGTTTAAATAAAGTATTTGTGTTGGTAAATGAAATTGTAGAAGATAATCTTGAAGATAGGACCGAAGAAAATCGGCCAAAAAGATTACTTGATAGTGAAGAAGACATAATAATATCTTGCAAGTACGATCCAAAGGAGGCTTATATACCCAACAGATTATCAAAATCGTGAGTGGCAATTTCAACCAATTAAATTATTCAAACACCAGGTTTCCTAATACTCTTTTTATTTGGTTTCACAACAATGCGGGGCGGCGAAAAAAATTTACCATTAATTTTCTCTTTAAAAAAAAAATTTCAGGACTCACGAAATGGTTCGTTTCTGTAATTTGTTGATTTATACTTTCCAAGTTACTATTATTTTTTTAAAATTATTATTATTTTTAATTTATAGGGTAACGAACAAGCAAAAGAAATTTCGTATCAAGATGCTCAACCTCAAAGTACAATTCTTAAACCTATGCAAGGAATGTTTCGAAAGGGAGTTCAATACAACAGTAAGTAAAGCAAATTAATGTTTATTTTATTTGTTTATTAATTATTTTAATTGATCTTTTCTTCTTCAGTGAAAATTATAATACGTGGTGACATTCGAACCGGAAAGACTACATTGTGTAAGTGATTAAATTGTTCATTTAATGGAATTGGCAAAGTTGATTGATTAATCAAAGGGATTTTTATTCTAACGTCTAGTTAATCGACTACAAGGAGACGCATTTAAAGAAGATTATGTCACAACATCACAAATTCAAGTTGCAAATATACAATGGAATTATAATCAGACAAATGATGTCATCAAAGTGGAAATCTGGGATGTAGTTGATAAGGGAATTAATCCAACGTCTAGTAGTAAAAGACCTAATTTATCAAATGGCACTGGACTAAAGATAGAAAATGATCAAGTCGCATCAACTTCACCCGTACAACAGGCAACAGAATTATCACCGGATCAACTTACACTGGATGCAGCAACAATTAATGTATATCGAAATACTCACGGTATAATATTATTGTTTGATATAACAAAGACTTGGACATTTGATTATGCTATTAAAGAATTAAAATCGATCCCAGTGAATATGGCCGTATTGCTTTTAGTATGTTAAAAATTTTTATTGTTTTGAAATTTAATATATAAAATTTTAATTCGAATCATTTCATTATAGGGTAATTTTAGTGATCTAAGGTAATCTTAATATTCATTTTTAGTTTCTTATTATTTATTCATTTATTATTGTCATTAATAAACAATTCATACATAGTTCGCAACGTGCGATCCCACAATCACAAGTTTATCAGGCTATAGCAGATTGTAATAGACTTAGAGTGACTGAATATCCTACAGCAAACATGGTTCGTTATGTTGAAACAAGTATGCTTAACGGATTTGGACTGGAATATATACATAAATATTTTGGAGTTCCTTTCTTGCAATTACAGAGAGACATACTTCGACAACAATTGGAATTAAAGACAAAAGAATTGGCTATCCTTTTAGATACACTTGATAATTGTGAACAAATTCCAAGTTCTGCTCGAAAACTGCACAGTATATCAGATAATGTTGATAATGTTCCGGAATCTAAACGTATATTTCATAAACTTGGTTATTTAATATATATATATATATGTAACTATATGTATTTGGTTTCTAATAATTATTTTCTAAATAGAAATGGAACAAGATATGTTGGTGCAAGAAAAATCATCTATAAAAGATCAATGGGATAAAGATTATCAAGATTTTTCTCTACAAGAATCTGGTAAGAAATATCAATAATTTACGTAAATATAAGGATATATTTAACTAAATATAAAACATACTTTCTTATTGTTTGATAGGTGGTGAAATTACGGGCGATATTGTAGAACCAATATCACCAAAGTTAAATTTAGCTCAAAGCACTTCAACTTCGTTAAAATCTAAAGGGCCTAAAGCAGCAACACCTAATATAGCTATCATTGAAGAATTTGATGCAGGACAACTTGAAGATGATTTCTTTGATGATACTCCTGATCCAAGTTTTGCTCAACCCCCTAATCATCCACCTAAAGTTGAGGAACAGGAACAAGATGATTTGGATTTATCAAATCCAATGGTTACTGCTGACGAGGATCTTGTTGGAGATGTGTCGAATGATATGGAAGAAACTGAAGATGGTAATAAAACTACGAATATTCGTCAGCCACCCAGCTTTAATGATGATCTGAACGATGTTTGGAAACGCCAAAATAGTAATGCTTCTGCTCTTATTGTTAGCGATAGTAGCGATGATGATTTAATAACAGGTGCAAAGCAGATGAACTTACTGGAACGTAGGCCTTCGAATGCAGCTTCTCTAATTGAAAAATCACGATTGAGTCAAGAATTAAGAGCCCTAAGAGAAGAAAGTAACTTTTTAGATCCTGAAACATCCAAATATCCGGAACATGTTTTATCAATGATTAATAATCCTTATTTGGAATCAGATAACATGGGAGTATCAAACTCATCACAAGGACATCATACTTTTGTAGATTCATCTTTTGACATGGAAGAATATACACCTATGACTTTCGGAACCCCAAGTGCATATGAAGAGATAGGTGAAGGTCAAGATAATCCTTGGTTGGAAAGAGAATCGAATCAACAAGTTAAAGATACGAACGTTTCTTCAACTACTCATCAATCACGTAAAGAAATATTTTTCAATTCTCCAGTAGGACAAAATTCCTCAACAGATCATCGAAATCGTAATTCAGAGGTAAAATATCATTTAATACTTCTTATTATTTTAACGAAACTTCTAAAATCAAATCTTTCATATAAAATCTATAGTCGGCAAAAGGTGAAATGCATAATCAACACCTTCACCTACATCACCCTAAATCATTTGATGAGGAATTAATATCGTCTTCCCCATGGGGAGGATTGGATAAATCAAATATACAAAGTTCACAAAATACAGAGGATTCATTATTGGATACTTATATCAAAAGTATAAAGAAAGAGAAGACAAAAGAACAATCAATTACGGAGACAAAAAATAAAATACCAAAGAAGAAGAAGAAAAAATCGAAAGATTCTAATACGAAAGAAGAGAATAATAATGAAACAAAAAAAGAAAAATCCAAAAAGAAAAAACAAAAAAGTATTGAAGATGAAGTAAACGGTGGAGTAAATATCAGAGAAAAGAAAACTAGTTCTAAAAAGGGAGTTACAAAATAAAATTTATTTATTTAATTTATTGTAGTTTATATAATTTGAACAATAATATATAATTGTAAACAATTAGAGTGTAATTATTATCTGTAATAATAAATATATTTTAATCAATGTTTTAATAAAGTAAAAGAAAATTAAGTCCTTTTATATAAATTTTTTTTAATGATCGACAAAATGGTGATTTATCCTTATTCGTATAATGTAATTATGCGATCATTAATTTTAGTTAAATTAAATCGAGATCAATTTATATTCCATTGATAATCTAATAACTTACTTAGCTCACGGTTTCGGCTACAACTTTTGCCTTTTCTTTAACTTCTTCGATTTGTTTTTCATTACCATGTTCAATTTCAAATTGTAACCATTTTTTAAATAAGAATTTCATCTTTTTTGATGAGAATTTCAAACTTATAACGCGTTGAAATAGACGTCTAAAGGAATTAGAGCATTTTGAGTATTCAACAGAGAGAATATCATTAGAAAAAATAATTTACCTGACAGCATTATCATCTTTGGCTTTAATTTCCATGTCAATATAAATTGACCATAAATCAATTCTTTTAGGGTAATTATTCATCATCCCTTCAAATATAGTTCGTCCTCTTTCCACCTCCCCATGTTTGAATTCCATTTGAGCGAATTTTGTAATGGTTTTAACGTCTGATAAAGATTGAATATATATATCAAGAAATTAAATTATTTGATAGATACTACCAATCGTCAAAAATTTAACTTACGTTTCCGTTTTGGTAATATTTTTAAACTTTTTTGTAATAAAGCTCTCGCATCTTCGATTTTACCATTCCGAGTATAGTAGAGTCCCATTTTACTCCAGACTTTGGAGCTTTGTGAAAATTTCTTAATCATGGTATTGTAAGTATTTTCCACGAGCTATCAAAAGGAAATTTTTTTTTTCAAAAATAAATTTTATCATAAAACTAATTTAGAAATAATGATTAAAATATAAAAGCACTGACCTCGAGCTTATTCGATTTTTCATAAATCTCTACAAGAATTGTATAGATTTTCTTTTGATCACAAGCTTGTAAAGCTCTAGTAAGAATTCTAGACATGGTTTCTTCACTTCCATAATTATTCTCTAAATTCATCAAGGCAATCCATATATTCAACCTCTCTTGCTCTTCTCTGAAATTAATGATTTTCAAAGCTCTTTCACCAATTTCTCTTGCTTTATCGATTTCAGATAATTTGATTTGATGAACCATATATTGCATCCATAAATATGAAGAATTGGGTGATCCTATTAATAATCTTTCAAAATCCACATCAACTTCGGGTTTTTGTGTCATTAAATCACCAGTTTGGTCAACTAATTCAAGATGTTTTGATTTTTTCTTATTTTTTTTATTTTGAGACTTTTGCTCGTCTTCCAATTCAAGTTCTGAATGATTTGGTGAAGTTTCTTCTCGAGTTGAATGATTTTTAGAGGCATCATCATCCTCTTCCCATTTCCAAGAACCTGAAATTGGTAATGGTGCAACTTCATTCTGTTCATTTGAATCGATTTGTAGCTCGATTATACCTTCTTCTTCTTCTTCTTCTTCACTTTCAATATTATTTGAATTCTGACCATATGAATCGATTTCCCAATGTAAGTTCATTGATCTGGATTTATCGGCCAAATCTTTATCAACCTATAAATAAAATAAGATAAAAATCAACTTAAAATTACAATAACCAGTTTTTGCTTAAAAAATTTACCTCCATTTGCTCGTCTTCCGAACCCTCCACTGAATCCTCTTCACTCTCATTATCATCCGTATCCATTTGATCGTCGTCACTTTTAAAATAACTCTTTCTCATGACAAAACCAACTTTCTGCTTCTCTTTATCAATGTTCAAAATCTTTGCTTTGACATGATCACCAATTTTAAACAAGCTACTCACTTCCTTGACATAATCATCAGATATTTTTGATTTATGGCATAATCCACTTACAATACTATTATCAATCTTTATAAATATTCCATAATTTTCCACACCCGAAACCGTGCCTTTAATAACTTGACCTTCATTAAAATCATCAATAGTTTTTGTTCCAGATATTATTAATTTGTCATCTTGATCTGAAGCTATAATAGACACCAAAACACGATGTTGTAACGTGTGCTTTTGAAATGCGGAATCATTAAGAGATTTTTTATGAAGATGGTGAGGTACATGAGTTATTTGAACTTTGATGGTTTGTCCAAATTGATATTTCATAAAAGGTGAGGAACGATTATTAAAGGATTTTGAGGCTGCGAATGCTATAGCGTTAGACTGCCCGGGTAATGACACAATAATATAATCTTCTTTAACTTGTTCTATTATTGCATCGATCAATGTCTTTTCATTTAAAAGTTTTTTCAAATCTTTTCTCTAGAGAAAATTTTTTTTTTTAGTAATTTATGTAAAAATAAAGATTTTTCACAAAATGAAACACTTACGCTAACAACACTATCGGTAATATTTTTGTTTTTGTTTCGCTTTCCATTCTTTCCAAAAGAAATCATATTATGTCGAATGCCCAAATCAATATTCTTTCCTTTCATATCAATATCAAGGACAACTCCTTCTATTTGGTCACCTTCTTTAATATCATTCCTAGTATTGGCTTGCTCTTCGCTAACTACTCCTTTGATCTTTTTGGAATTATTTTCATTTACCATAATAACTTCAACTTTCCAACCTCCGTGATCATCATCATTCATATCTAGGTCATCGTCGTCTTGTTTAGATGGCAACCTTTTCTTAACCAGACACTTTACGCGTTCTCCGATCATTACTTTCATTTCTTCCTGCCTAGTCAAATTTTTTCCCGTATGTAAAAGTTCCTCAAAATAAGATTTAATGAAATTACCTTGATTAATAAATGACAGAGATTTGCTGATGGAAATTTCTGATGGTTTTAATGAAATGTCGAATTTTGACGTTTCTTTATCAATATGCGTTATTAAACCAACAATTGATTGATTAACATGAAAAATCCCAACTGGGCTAGCAATAAAATGATCTGCTAATTTCTGTGATGAAAAAATACGATGATTATAAGTATCAAATATATATGATCTTAACCATTCTCTTAAATAACTTAATAACTCACGTCTCTTGTAGCTCTAGAACTAAATCCTCCCAAAAATCCTATGAAAACGGCGTAATCGGTAACACTTTTGACGTACCCACACACTACGTCTCCTACTTCAATATCATCTAATTTTTCAGGGAACTTATTATTCCTTTTCGCTTCGATTAATAAAGATTTTTTTGTTACATTAACAAACCCTTTTGGCTCATTTTTTGCAATAACCATTAAATTGCTTAAAACGTCATTAAGTTTTAGTTGCTCTTGAATGTGCGATAAGTGAGAAGGAGTAATATGATCCGAAAAATGAGAAATGGGAAGATGTGCACGAATTTGTGAGGGTATAAGGGATAATATTATAGTATTATCTTTGATTTGTAAGATTTTTCCTTTTGTAATCTGATTGGTGAGGATAGAATTAATAGGAAAAATGATAAGGTAATAATAATAATTATTATAGCAAAAGTATGAAGTTAAAATATTGAAAGAATATTCTGATCTAGAAATTAAAATTTTATTATGAAAATCAACCAAAGATTTGATATATTAAACAGTCTTACTTACATCACCCAAATTAATTTCACTTAGATCACTATTTGTAGCATCATTGATTTGGAAACTTCCCATAATCAACTCCTTATCCTTAACAACTTTCGTTATCCTACATTTTACAATCTGTCCGATTTGAAAATGATCCTTTGGATTCTTTATCGCTTCAATACCACATTGATTAATCGGTATAAAAGCTTTTAACCCACCAAAGAATTGTACGATACAACCTTGTCCTATAATCCCGGATATGATTCCATGGGTAACGATTCCAGATTTTACATCATCAAATGATTTGAAGATTGGCAAATCGGAATTAATAAGTATAGGACGGAAGGTAACGTAAATATGATTGTTTGGCGGGTCCGTGTTAAGAACTCGACATTTATGAGTAGTTCCAATTTTGAATTTTTGAGATGGATGAGTAAATATTGTGTCGGAAAGGTGTGTGTTGGGAGCTAATGCTGTTATATTATCAGATAATGCAACCAAAATTCCGTTGTCTATAATGTTTATAATTTTACACTAAAAAATTTGAAAAGCAAAGAATCTCATTAATTATAATATAATGATGAATCATTAGCTAATGAATGAAATTTATTACCTCTGTAATTTCTCCAATATTGACATCATCAAATCTAAAATATTTTTGTTCCAGAACAGACTTCTTTGTTGATAATAACAAAAGATTATCAACGGCAGCAAATCCAATTACACGAGCTCGATGAGCCGAGCCTGGTATCAAATCATTTGTGTTTTCTGAATCTGAAAACTAAGGTTAAATAAGTTAATTTCATTTATTCTAAATTAAAATTTTGAATGTTATTCATCAAGTTAACTCACCCGAACATATCCATTTACATTCATATTTTCAATTTCCACCAATACACCTTTACGCCTATCAACTTTTTTGACCATAACATTTTCCAGTATTTCTCCTATGGGAGCCTTATCAATTGACAACTCTCTGTCAATATTTAATTTAGTTTGTTCCAATTTAATAACATGCGGTGAAAGAGATAATCTTATCCTTTTGGCCTCAGTTGTGAAAGAAACATAAATAATTCTACCATGTACTTTGCTACCAATTTTAAAATTTTCATGGAATTCATGGGAATCTTTCATGATCTTTGGCCCATGGAAAAAATCAATGACTCCATCTAAAAGACCCATTATCTTTACACGTAAACCATTTGAACAAATATCTGTTACAATTGTTGTAATTAAATTTCCAGGAAGAAGCGAACAAATATTCTGTACGGTAGCGTCTGAAATTCTTGTTTTAGCAACAATTTCCGGATCTGCTGTCAACCTAACAGTTCGTCTGTTATCTAACTCATCAATAACACTAACGGTAATAACTTGTCCCACAGAAAATTCATTACCATTGTTATAACTATTTATATAATTTTTTGCGTCGTCATTATGCAAAAATCCACTGATACCATCCAATCCAATAGAAAGAATATATCCATGGTCTTCCACACTTTCAACGGAAGCTGACATGACCTAATGGAAAAAAAAACATGAATATTCAATTTGGAAATTCAACAAAAAGTAATCTTGTTTTATTTATAAATACCATTCCTTTAGACAAGTCAGCAACCATTATATCGGAATTAACTTCATCTGGAACTAGCGTTAGATGTATACGCCAATGTTTTGATGTAGCGGCAACCGGAGATTCAAGACGAGAAACTTTGCATCGAATCCATTGACCTACTCTAAATAGTGACGATAATTCTGGTAATTGATTTTTATCATTTTCACTCTCATCTTCGTCGTCATCATCATCATCATCATCGGAATCTGCCATGCTGGCAACAATTTTGGATAACGTTTGAGAAACTTCATTTATTGAAACATACCCTACCATTTGATAGGGAAGTGATACAACCAAATTCACAGAATTTACTTGTACAATTCGACCCAAGAAATATGCCCCAACGTTAAGATGCTTAAAAAAAAAAATGAATGAATCAAATACCATTATCATCATATAATAACATCTAACGAATAAATTAAAAAAAATTAAAAATTAAAACTTACCTGAATTGACAATAATTCCACCGAATCTTTTTTGAAATTATTTAACTTAGCGTCCGCATCTTTTGCAAATTTCAATGGGTTTGATTTTGATACGGATTTTCTCTTTTTCTTAACAGGTACTTCATCTACCTCCTCATCAGATGATTTATTGTCTTCATTCTTTAAGGAGATTTGGATTTCCCATCAGTTTATTTATAAGAATTATCTAACAAATGAGAATTTCTCGTGATCTTTATAACACTTACATCATTAAAGATATCATCTCGATGGTTTCTTTCCTTTCCATTTTTAATAGAATACTCGGATGCCTTACCACCTCTAGGAAAATCATTAATTTCAGTCTTGGAGGAATTACGCACGATCACCTGTTCATTCTTGTCTTGTTTATTCGTTTTAGGATACTTGGATCCATTAGATATAGATTTATTGTTTCCCGGTGTTTGGTCTTTTTTATTTCTGTTGGAATTATTTGATGGTACAGGAGAGGCGGCTTTTCTCTTCTGATTTGCACGAGTCATAGTTTAATCTATTATCTTTAATCCAAAAACTTTGACAATAAAGAAACCCAACTCCGAAAGACGATGTATTGAGAACAGCGACTTTAAAAGATGTGAATCGAATGGTTAAAATTTTACATCAAATTTTTTTGATTTCGTTACACAGAAACCACGTGATTTAAAACACGACCATTTTGACCAATCATTGATTCAGCACTTAATTTCACCAAACGTACTCATTTGACCAGAATTATAATGAATACAATTTTCTTAATTTTTTTTTTTTTCTTTTAGTTCCCTCAAAACAAATGAGCATTTATATATGATGATGACATAAAAGATGACACGATGGACACAAAGTATAATTTATATGCCATCAATTAAAATCATGAGTCAAGTTGATAATAAACGCTTTTTTATGACTAAATAGTCGACGCCGCGTGTTGAAATTTAAATTATTAAATTGCGCGTGAAAGAATTACAAGGTTAAACCGATTTAGCGCGATTTAATATCCCTAAAAATTTATTTTCAAAACAAAATTTCAAAAACGCAGCACTGCGGACAAAACCGAGATTCTCTTTATCCACATCACTTGATCTAAACGCCCATCTAGAAAAATTCATTTTCTGACTAGTAACACATCGTTATCGGTTCTTTGAAATCGTACTTTTTTAACTTGTGGTACTTGAATTTCTTTTATAATTTCTTTCCGTTAATAACAGCATCTTCCTGCATGTAAAGTTTCAGTTTGTTTTCTTTGAAAAAAAAATTCTTTTGTTGCATTTAAATGTAATGTTTAACATGTAATGTTTTATTTAAAAAAACAGATTTTTTTTAACATCATCTTTGAGGATGCATAAAAAAAAAAAATTTTCATATGCTCTTCATCTGTACATTATCGTGAAAATAATGTAAAATGTGTTGAAAATCGTTTAAAGAATTTTCTTGATTGGGTTGAAATTATCAATAGACGACAATCTATTTCCATATTAAAAATATAATTTATAAAGATCCAAATTTAGAATAAAACATAAAAAAAAAAAAAAAAAAAAAAAAAAATTTACGAGGCTGGAGTTGGCGTTAAATTCCCTTAATAGGATTAATAGGATTAAAAAAAATATGCGATTACGACATGCGCAATGCCTCGTAAACTTTCATATCTAGGCAGGTTTCTTTCTCCAGTGAATTCCTTGAATGTTTTAAACAAAATAAATACTTCTATGGATACCAGTATACCTACGCATGACCTTAATGGTTCAATAAAACCTGTAATTTATTATAATGGCAGATTTCATTTTGTTGAAGAAGATACCGCTGCTAAGTTCCATTTTGATACAGATTATGCTTTATTTCAAATATATAACTTAAAAGTATGTTGGCGGGTACGCAGAAAAGGCGGGAGACTCGGGAAGAATGTATCTTTACTTGAAAATCCTTTATTTTCCGCTAATACCGATACTTACCTTTGCACAATAGGGTACAAAACGTGAAATTCTTGAAGCAATCACGGACGTTGCAGGACCCGCGGGTTCTATATCTTTCTTGAATGATTTTGAAAGAACCTATTCAAGATGCTCGGATCATAGGATAGAATTAAGAGCTGGCTCATCTATCGAGACAAATGATCCGACAAGATTAAAGGTAATAAAGATTAGGTTTTCGTTATTTTGCACCTTTGAATTTAAGTTGATTTTTTTTTTTTTACTTTTTCACAGGTCAAAATCAAGTTTAGTAATAAATCTCATGCTGACGTTGTGGAAGGTCTTCGAACATCTACCTCGGTTGCCGAATTAACTCTTAATGGCTTTGCAGATTGGGTGCCATTAGATAGCACAAGTTACGAATGCGTTTTACAATCATCAGAGACATCGCATGATAATTCAATTACGAAATCAGAATCAGAATCTAGGCACACAATCTTACGAGCGCTAAGCGATAATATTGATCCGGTATTACTAGATGTGGTTATTGATGATTTGTTGGATGATTTTGAATCTGGAGCCTTCAGGAAATTATTTCCCGGTCCCGTCATACGTGTCGATCGAGGCATTAATGAAGTTGTCATGACCGTAGTGTTGACGCGTGGTCGTTATCCATTTGATGAAGATATGGGCAAGATATTCATTGAAATTCTCAATGCTTTAATTCAAGATCGCAAAATTGAAAAAAAATTTGACAAGGTACGTTTAGATTTTTGTTTTTGTTTTTGTTTTTTTTTTATTCACAGAACATTTATTCACCAAATCGAAATTTATATCAATTTTTTATATGATATATTTATAGCATATATATGATTCGTTTTTCTTATTGGTGGTGCGTATATTAAACTTGATACGTGATTTGGTTCATCTGAACGAGACTTATGAGGATTTTCATTCACCTGGAGTATGTCCGTTATTTGCTAATTCAATAAAATTTATGAAAGTTAAATATATTGAAAGTCTTACTGACTTGGAAAAAGCATTAATTGACATTGGATTTGATAAATTTGAAGGTAAATTTATGAAACTTTGCTCGCATCCTGATAAGTACACTCGGATTTAATTCATCATCAATATTTCCATTTTGCAGATCGCCTTCAAGAACTTACGATGATGGTTCGTGAGGTTGATCGTTGCGTAGAAACAGCATATGGAAATTTACAATCAGATGTAGAAAAATGGAAAAAGCGCAGGAACATGGCCAATTTTTCTTATGTTTTATCAATGTAAGTTGAGTTTTAATTTGCAAGTTATTTATTCAATTATCAACCCAATATCTATATATATTTATTTATATTTAAAATAAGAATAATAATAATTCTTATTATTATGATGAACGGTTTCTTTCATAGACTTATAGCTATTGCATTACCATCAATATATCATTATTATCGTCAAACAGATTATGTTCCATTTGGTCCCATAACAGTAAATTTTTTTTTTCAATTATTATCAATGTTAATTTTTTCATCCTATTAATTCGCTTACCATCATTTCCTTTTTCTTTAGACAATACTTGGATGCCTTATTGGTTTTTTTTGTGCATTTTGGCATGGATGGTCACGTAATAGTTATGATAAAGCCATTTCATCGCATAGGAAAGCCATACCAATTCATTCTTCTACGACACAAAGTTTGGATTCGTTGCAAAGGTGGTTAAATAGAATTTCAATCGTTAAAAGATGTAAAATTCCAATGAATAATAATGAACTTAAAGGAAGAAAGGCTATCTTATCTTATCTTTTTGATGAATTGGTCTCTTCTGTTGCTGAATTGAGACTAAGCATTTGTTTAGAAGATGAACTCAGAAGATATAGATAATATAATATATTTATTTATTCTTTGTATTATTATTTGTATTATAGAAATAATGTTTTCTATTTATTTATTTATTTTAGTTTTTTTTTTTTTTTTTTTTTTTTTTTTTTTTTTTTAAAAAAAAAAATTTTTTTTTTTTTTTTTTTTTTTTTTTTTTTTTTTTTTTATTTTTTATTTTTTTTTTTTTTTTTTTTTTTTTTTTTTAATTTATATTATTTTTTTATTTTTTATTAAATATTTAAAAATAAAATATATATTTTTATTATTTTATT